TATATATATATCCTGCAGGAGGCCAATTGGTTAGCGTTCCAGACAAAAGATTTATACAAGTTTTATTATTTATGTAATAGTGATTGACTAGTATTACTACGTAATGTTGAATATGCTTTGTACAAGTAAGATTGGTTTGGTAAAAAAGAAATTACATTATTAGACAATTATCATATATTTTATGTTGTTTTATTTACTTGTATATCAGGTCTCCACAAACAATTTATTCCCATTGCATACACGACGAAAGAAGCTTTAATTTTCAATCTATAAGACATCAATACTCTAACTGTTCTAAGAAACATCAAATAAATTACATAACCGAGGGTTATATTATGTACATATTTGATTTCAAGCTGTGGCTGGTAGCTCATGGGGCTTCGTCAACAACAAATCCTTGTTTACTCCAACCTTAGCAGTCCAAAAGATATGCGTAACTTAACAATGAGTTTAATGGTGGGGGAATTCTGTTTCAACTATATATATATTGGTTGAGTATTAAGCATAATCTGGTTTAGAAAATTACACTCATCCAATACAATATTTTGATTACACATTTACTTCAACTTCTGAGAAAATATCCTTAATGATACTCGTTTTCAATGCCAGTTATACGGATTTATTGAAAACGTGTTATTTTCTACCTACGTTTTTTTTTTCGAGGCTGTTTTATTTAGAGTTTGTATTGTATAAGCCCTGAGAAAACGTACGAGGTCGTCATTTAAATACAAAACTGAAATACAATTTAGGAACACTGTAAGTACGTTAAACTCTCGGTGTGGCAATTAAAGTTTGTAAAGTTTAATTCGCCAGCCTTGGTAGTAAATTTGATAACGATGGTAGAAAAATATCAATACGTGGGATTATGAAACTTGACTATATGTAATTCAAAATAAATCCCTTGTCTACAAAGTAAAAATTTAATCTGAAATTCGCTCACTGAAATCAATATCAAGTCTTATCAGTAGATTTTACCTTGTTTTAATGTTTAATTTATTAATGCTTTTGAAATTTTTTGGAAAGCATCCAACTCGGTGGTGATACGAAAATGTATTATTTATATTCTTATTTAGAAGACTAATATTTTGCTACGTTTCTAAGATACATCAATAATTTTCATATGTCAGATACGAGTAACATCCATTGACATTCGGTGTTACTGAGAATATATGAAATAAATAAAACAGTTACGAAGCATAAGCATAGAATATATATTAGATGATGGTTATCCACTAGATCAAAAAATAATTCCCTGCTCGTGAGATTTACGACCCACCTCACGAATCAAAGTTGTTCATACATTGCTAAGAACTTGTGGTCCGGCATAAAAAACTACTAGAGTTAACAACGGTTGTATTAGTTTTAAAATGTAACACGTTTACTGCAAGTCTTTATTTTTCATCGTGTAAAAAGTGCCTGTTGGTCTGAAAATATTTCACTATTCATTCCATCTCGCCACGTTTGTTCGCCAAAATACGTGGTTTTCTTAACGAATAATGTCAAACTGGAGACTCTTCAAAAAACAAAAAAACTTACATAGCGTTTTTAGGTATGTGTAACACTAGTATTCTGCCGCATTTCGACCTGTTTATCATACTGGGAGCAATCGAATAACGCAAGTAGGAGAAGACATAAGTAGTTTGATATCTCTTAAAGGACGACCTACCGTGAAATAAGTTGAAGCTCATTTGCTGGAATTTTCTTAACCTTGTACAAAAACGACTGTTTCTATATTTGTTTTATCGTAAAGCTACATAAAAGTCTATCTGCGCTCTATCTTATACGGGGTTTCAACGTTGTAAGTGCGTAAACTTACTGACTGACCTATTGTGAGAAAGGTCTATTCTGCACACCACGGACTACATATTCTTAAGGATGCATATGGACATTCACGCTTAAGAACTTCATAAAGTGCAACAGATTTATAAAGAAGACTAACCATTGTTGAGGATCATGTTTCTAGACTGGATAAATTATGATAATAAGGTCATCAATTGTGTAACTATATTTTATGAAGCAATATTCGACATCTATGGAACAGTTAACATGCATAACTGTAGAACCTAATATGGAGAAGAACCCAAATATCATTGAGAAGGACATGCAAAACTCGCCAAAAAACAATGTTTGGTGTGCTGTCCTCTTTCTCGCTGGACTCGCATGCCATGACATGCCGGAGTTTTCTTTTGTTACCTTTTTGAAGCTGTTGGTGTTGTTCGCACGTGTTTCTTCCAGCAAGACAGAGCACTATAACTTTGTATTCGCAAGGCACGCACAAAAGAACGTCTTACCGAATCGCTGTATTAACTGCATTATGACTATTTCATGTGGGGATAAATAAAGTCTTCAGTTATCATGCGCAGAAATAAAGGGTCATAAGTGGGACGCGTAGAATAGAATTCCATAAAACTTGCTTGTCAATGTATTGGACGAATGGGAAAGATGCTTACCGAAGTGCCCTAAGTCCAGTAAAAGTCGTGGAGCTAGATGGTTTGTTTGTTTGTTTGTTTTTGAATTTCGCGCAAAGCAACACGAGGGCCATCTGCGCTAGCCGTCCCTAATTTAGCAGTGTAAGACTAGAGGGAAGGCAGCTAGTCATCACCACCCACCGCCAACTCTTGCGCTACTCTTTTACCAACGAATAGTGGGATTGACCGTCACATTATAACGCCCCCACGGCTGAAAGGGTGAGCATGTTTGGTGGGACGGGGATTCGAACCCGCGACCCTCATATTGCGAGTCGAGCGCCCTAACCACCTGGCCATACCGGGCAGGAGCTAGATGGACTGACAAGTACTTTAATACAGGTGTAATTTAAACCTCGATACAACCATTCGTAGCTATCTTAATAATGTTGTCTTTTCCTTCCCGTCTACAATTACTTATCAGAAATAACTTAGCTAGACTACATGATTACTTTTTTTTTAATAAAGTAATGAGACTAGTTGCTTGTTTTTCAGAGTAAAATTAATTTCTTAAATTCTTTATAAAACTAATTTCATTCGATATCAGTATCTCTTGTTGACTAAAAAGTACAGTGGAACTAATTGTGAAAAATAATAACCTTTCTCTCAACGTATTTTAGTAGCACATAATAGAAATATTACGTATATACCAGATTAACTTTCAACCAAGCAAGCTCTGTAGCTTGTCACTGCGGAAAGTTATTTGGGTTTAACAATATTATAGGGAACAGTAACGAAACCTACATTAAATATTGTTAAAAAATGTATTAGTAACGAGAACTACGTCTAATATTGTTATAACCTTGTATTTATTACAGTAATGAGATCTACATTTAATATTGTTATAACCTTGTAATTATTGTAGTAACGAGACCTGCGTTTAATATTGGTAAAAATTGTATTAGTAACGAGACCTACGTTTAATATTGGAAAAAATTGTATTAGTAACGAGACCTACGTTTAATATTGTTATAATCTTGTATTTATTGCAGTAATGAGATCTACATTTAATATTGTTATAACCTAGTATTTATTACAATAACGAGACCTACATTAAATATTGTTCAAAATTGTATTAGTAACGAGACCTACGTTTAATATTGCTAAAAATTGTATTAGTAACGAGACCAACGTTTAATATTGTTATAGCCTTGTATTTACTGCATTAACGAGACCTACGTTTAATATTGTTATAGCCTTGTATTTACTGCATTAACGAGATCTACGTTTAATATTGTTATAGCCTTGTATTTATTGCATTAACGAGATCTACGTTTAATGTTGTTATAATCTTATAATTATTGCAGGAACGAGACCTACGTTTAATACTGTTATAGTCTTATATTTATTACAGTAACGAGACTTACGTTTAATATTGTTATAATCTTATATTTATTGCAGTAACGAGACCTACATTTAATATTGTTATAATTTTATAATTATTGCAGTAACGAGACCTACATTTAATATTGTTATAATTTTATAATTATTACAGTAGCGAGACCTACATTTAATATTGTTATAATTTTAAAATTATTGCAGTAACTCGACTCGTTTTCAGAGCAATATCTTACTAAATATGGTCCACTTGTTTATTAAACATCATAACACCTTATACGAAAATAGAATCCGGAGAAAACACTTAACTGTAGTATGTGTAAATTAAGATAAAATTCTCTCTTTAAAAACTGCAGTAATAATTAAGTTTCTAAGATTGTATTATAATTTTCATTATTTTGATCTACGTACAATTCGAAGTTAAACTGGTACAACCACTGGTTATTGCAATGGTAAAATTCATTATTGAACTCGGAAACGTTTTTTTATCATCAGCTTTATATAAAACACTATATAATGCGTCTACACAAACAAAGTTAGAAAAGAATTAACCTTAAGCAGAAAGTTCGTACACTTGTTATTGCTCACATACAACAAGCTTCACTTATCGTGTTTGAAGTATTTTTACTTGGCAATGTTCATATAGCCATGAACAACTTCCGAACTTTACGTGTCAGTGATTTTGCTTTCCATATGAAAGATTTATAATATACTGAGAACCAAACGAATCAAATCATGATACTTGTACCACCTAGTGGTGGAGATGTGTGTCTATTTCATATCATTATTAAAATAACATATTTGCAGTTTAACCATTAGAAATGATATTGTAGTGGGATAAGAGTAACAAGAATGGGTATTATTTATTTTGTCCTTTCGAGTCCTAACAAACGATACTGCTCGAAGGTAAAAAAAGTGTTCGACTTCATTAAAGACCTTAACTCACGTTTTTAGGTTATTTATACTTAAAGCATCGTATTTAACCTTCCGTAGTACATTTTTTTTTGAAATATCGTGACATACAGTTCAAGCCTGTATTTATTATTGCCTTTACCAGTATAGATTCCTTAGTGTACACGTTTTACTTGCATGCAAATGTCACAATAGTCTCACATTTACACTGTGAATTTGGTCTCAGCATTTCTTCCCTTCACGTTATTGTTCAATATCATGGTTCTATTCAGAAGATGATTAAAAAAAGTAGTTAGGGCTGAAATTATGACTAAATATGTTTATTATCAGGAATAGAACATTTACTGCATGGGGAAATGAAATACTTTTGAAACGAAACGTAACTAATACAGGAAATCATACCTTAGTATTGGAACTGATGCCAGTTAGAAAATGATGTTTAAATAAGGTGTATTTTTAATATTATTTGTATGCACCCACTTTAAGTTTTACATCTGTATTTTACTTTATTTGATTTTCACAATGATTTTATAGTTTATTAAAAAAGCATCGTGCGGAAAGATTAATTTTATGTTTATTTTTCGGCAGCACGTGATCAAGGAGTCGTTATTAGTCCGCTTATTGGAGCGCTAATTGGAATTGTTCTGACTTTGGTTTTTGCTGCAATGATTACTGTAGCAATCCTGGGATACCGAAGATATAGCAACAAAAAGGGTAGGTATTACAGTAGAATAATGTGATTTTGTGCTCATTAGCACCAGATTTGGATCGATGGGTGAATATCATTTTATGTTTAATGTAATATAAATATATGTATAAAGAATATGTAGCTACAGTAGTTACATGCTTAGTAACTTTGGATAGACCATTTGAAGATATTTTATTATACATGTAATTTACTTATGATAAGATTCGCTTGATAAAAAACGAAAAGTGTTCATTACGAAAATAATATTGTTATGACCTTGTATTTATTCCACTAACAATACCTACGTTCAGTACTGTTTAGCCTTATATTTATTGCGGTAATGAGACCTACGTTGAATATTGTTTAATCTCGTATTTATTGCATTAACCAGTCCCACGTTAAATATTGTTATAACCTTGTATTTATTGCAATAACGATACCCACGTTCAGTTTTGTGATAACCTTTTAGTTATTGCAGTAACGTGTCCTATGTTTAATATTGTATTTATTGCAGCAACGAGAACGACGTTTAATATCGTTATAATCTTATATTTCCTGCAAAAGCGAGACCTACGTTCAATATTGTTATACCTTGTATTTATTGCAATAACGAGGTGCCCCCCCACTGGCACAACGGTATGTCTGCGTACATAAAACGCTAGAAACTGGGTTTCCTGTGGTTAGAAGAGCACAGATAGCCCATTGTGTAGCTTTGTGCTTAACATCAAATACACAAAAAATAAAAAAGTAATAATATTGTTATAAACCTATATTTACTGAAGTAACTCGACTCGTCTGAACATGCTTATTTACGTGTTTATTAACATCTAAATATGCAGAGTTTGCATGTTTATTAGCGACTACTATATTATTATCATGATAGCTGTTTATTAGCGTTTAAACATTGATTAATATTATTATATTATATAAAACTCGCATCCTTCTTAGAACAAAACTCTTCGTGCTCCGCTTTTATCTTAAGCTTAGACTATGTTAGCGCTTTCGTGAAAGAAACAAAATTTTACCAAAACGTTTTTATTTCCCACTTAACTTCCTTATATGCACAAATGATTTCACAATTCCATTAAAAGTACAATGAAATCGTGATCCTTAACAAAAACGATCGAGAATGTTTTCAACTTCTTACTAAGACCACTTGTTTTAATACCATTAACCTATAAAACACCTAAAAAAAGAGACAGCACCTATAAAATGATCACTCATAGAACACGTTAAATAAAGTGATAGCACCTAAAAATGATCACTCATAAAACTCGTTAAATAAAGATAGCACCTAAAAATGATCACTCATAGAACTCGTTAAATAAAGACAAAGCACCTATAAAAATGAATTGATTTTTGATAAACTCGTACTTGCAAGTGAATCATTAATTAAATCAGTATTTCCCAAAGTGGGAGCCGCAGCCCCACCAGGGGTCGTTAAGCTTTTCTGGGGGGCCGCCAGAAATGGGCCAAAAACAAAGATGCTGAATTAATTTTATTCGAAATAAACAACAAGCGAGTCGTTAATTAAATGAATATTGAATTAGCAAAGGAAATCAATGTATAATTTAATATTTGTAATTATTAGCAGTATAAACTAGATTTAAAGAAAGATTAATACAGTTGTCTAATCTTTAAATGATACATCATTTGTAGTTTGAAATAAGTGAAGGATTTGTATTAAAGTGAAAAAAGTAAAATAAAAACTGTGACAACGTTACTAAAAAGCACTTCGGTTGAAGCAACAAAGTCTACGTCTGAAAAACGTACAGTTTCTCTTCCCGTTTGTTTTGCTACTATAAACGTTAATCACCAATGTCAGCGTATATATTGAATAGACGTAATCGTGTGTAAAATTACATGAAAATCAGAGAGAGAGAAAAGTCAGAGGACGGGGAATCTTTCCTGAAAATGTGAAACAAATCGCCATCTTCTTTATACTTCAGCAAGTGTGTATAATCCCTGAATATCAATGGAAAAATAAAATACATGTGTTATATAATGACAATATTAGCCCATTTAAGGACGCTCATCTCCCAATCTGTGGATTGTAGGTTTACATTCCCTCATCGAACATCACTCTTTCAGCCGTTATTATGTGACGGTCAATCCTAATATTCCAAGAGTTAGCAGTATACGGTTTTAACCAGCTGCCTTCCCTTTAGCCTATTACTTATAAATTAGAGACGTCTAGCACAGATACCACTGAAGTACCTTTGCGCGAAATTCAACAAAATAAAGAGACAATCCTTATTTTAAGTGAAAGGCCTTACTAATGACGAAACTAGCATTATTCTTAGAACAAAACTCTTTATGCTCTTTTTTTTTTTATCTTAAACTATGTTAGCTCTTTCGGGATAGAAACCAAATCTTTTGATCCGTTTAACTTACATGTAGCAAGAAAAAAAAAAAAAAAAAGGTGTGTACTACTTGAAATGAAATAATTAAAATAAAAAAAATAACTTTCTGTTACGAGTAGTTTAATTTCACACCCTTTCATTTTTTCTTGATTTTTAGTTTCAGAATTAGCAGATGGACCAATTACCAACAAGTAAGTATCCCCCTTTTTTATTATTTTGCTGTATGATTAAGTCCACTTAGGAAAAATAAATTTATGTTAATAATTATGCATCTATTTTTTTTACAATAAAACTTCATTACCACATTTAGGCTCATTCCCATCCCATTACTTTCATTGATTATTGCATTAATGTTGTGTATATAAAAGATTTCTTCGAAATATAAAACGGCAAGGGAAAAAATAACATAAAGCACTTACTTGTTAAGCACATATGCATTGTTAGGTGATACTACGACTAACTCAACCATTTGTGATAAAGAACATAAGGCACTTACTTGTTAAGCACATATGCATTGTTAGGTGATACTACGGCTAACTCAACCATTTGTGATAAAGAACATAAGGCACTTACTTGTTAAGCACATATGCATTGTTTGGTGATACTACGGCTAACTCAACCATTTGTGATAAAGAACATAAGGCACTTACTTGTTAAGCACATGTGCATTGTTAGGTGATACTACGGCTAACTCAACCATTTGTGATAAATAACATAAGGCACTTACTTGTTAAGCACATGTGCATTGTTAGGCGATACTACGGCTAACTCAACCATTTGTGATAAAGAACATAAGGCACTTACTTGTTAAGCACATATGCATTGTTAGGCGATACTACGGCTAACTCAACCATTTGTGATAAAGAACATAAGGCACTTACTTGTTAAGCACATAT